CAGCCGCCCCGCGGGAAGCCTCCTCCCAGTCCTCTAAGTCCTTGAAGTCCTGTGAGTCCCGATTCAGTCTGTGTCCTCCTGTCCCGCCCTCAGCACTCTCCCTCCCGCCTCCCCCTGTGGCCTGGTCAGCTGTCCTCCTGGACCCTTGGGGCGGAGCTCTGGCCCCTCTGGGAGAGGGGAGACCCTGGGGCGCCCCCTCCGCCCCCCAAACCCCTTTACTTGAAGGACTTCTGTAGCTGGACAGACAACACCATCACCAGGTGACAGAATGGCCTGGCTCAGCCCTGCCTTGCTCCCCAGCCCAGCCTCCTCTGCAGTCACTGACTGTGGGGGTGGAGGGGGACCCCGAAGGCTCCAGGCCCTGACGGGTTAGGGGAGGCCAGGCGGAGGAGGGAGGCCTGGCTGTAGGCACTGACCCGGAAATGTCTGAGGGAGAAAGGATTCAGCAGCCGGGCAGTAAGCAGCTTTATTGGCTGTTGGGGGAACCCCATTTCCACATCAGCGAGGCAGTGTCTGTGGTTTGGGGGAAGGGGTGGGTGTAGCTAAGGGCTCACCCCAGAAGGGCCTGCGGGGTGAGGGAGCCATGGCAGGGTCTTTTGTCCCCCCCCCCCACATCAGGAACACGCGTGGCTTTGGGAGGGGTCCTGCTCAGGTTTGATGAGGAAAGGGGAGTGTGGCAGCTACAAAAGTGTCACTGGGCTGCCCGGGCCAGGCTGCGCCCAACCCCCCTTGCCCACCCCACCCGGAGATGTGTGAGGCTTTGCTTCCTGTGTGAGGTCTGCAGTGGGAACGGCGGCAGGTGCATCAGTGATGCAGGGTGGCGTGACCACTGAGACACGTGTGTACACACACACACACACACACACACACACGGATATAGAAACATTAAAATACTTTAATTCTCTTTACACGGCCACAGGCCTTCCCGCTGGGTGGACCTCGGTGGGCGCTTCTCTTGGGCTTTAAGGTGACGCGTGGTGACTACAGGCGGTGAATGCAGGTTGGTCACGTACAGGCAGTCCCAGCCGTCACCAGCCCGCACGCAGGGGCGAGCTCGCCGCCTCTCCAACGGGCACAGCCTCAGCCCGAGGCAGCTGGTGCCAGGGGCTAAAAGCCTCTGGTATGAGCCGTGTCTTACCCTTGTTCTGATTTTATAAAACACGGTTACGTATGTACATACAGCACAACAAAGTGCCTAGCGTGCACTCTAACATAGAGCACCGAGCCCACTGCGGGGCGCTGCCCCGCCGGCCCCATGGGCAAGGGCGGGGTAAACACCTGCACGGAGGTCGGATGCAGGAAGGTGCGGAGCCGCCAGCACCCTTCCCGCGGGACCCCAACACGAGGACTGGCTCGTCCCGTGGGGGGCGGAAGCGACAGAAGCCAGGTCTTTATCTGGGGGCACAGCTGTCAGACCACCTGGTACTGAGAGAGCGATGGCTACTCAGAGGTTCTCCAGAAACCACCGTGAGGGCCAGCCTGGCTCATGGCCCTGGGCGAGGGGTCCCCAGGCGAGGGGTCCCCAGACCAGGAGTCCCCAGGTGAGGTGTCCCCAGGGAGGAGTCCCCCCAAGTGAGGTGTCCCCAGATGAGGAGTCCCCAGACCAGGTGTCCCCAGGTGAGGTGTCCCCAGGCGAGGGGTCCCCAAGTGAGGTGTCCCCAGATGAGGAGTCCCCAGACCAGGTGTCCCCAGGTGAGGGGTCCCCAGGCGAGGGGTCCCCAAGTGAGGTGTCCCCAGATGAGGAGTCCCCAGACCAGGTGTCCCCAGGTGAGGGGTCCCCAGGCGAGGGGTCCCCAAGTGAGGTGTCCCCAGATGAGGAGTCCCCAGACCAGGTGTCCCCAGGTGAGGGGTCCCCAGGCGAGGGGTCCCCAAGTGAGGTGTCCCCAGATGAGGAGTCCCCAGACCAGGTGTCCCCAAGTGAGGGGTCCCCAGGCGAGGTTTCCCCAGGTGAGGAGTCCCCAGACCAGGTGTCCCCAGGTGAGGGGTCCCCAGGTGAGGGGTCCCTAGGTGAGGTCTGTGCTAAGGGGGCAGGGCTGGCTGGGGCTCAGGGCTGAGGCAGCATCTCTCAGACACACTGACACTCACGCGAGCACACGCCCCCGGGGACAGTGCCCTCCAACAACTGGTACAGAGACACACTGGCACCCTCTTCTGACACCGCGAGGGCGTCTTTGTAAAGCTTCCCTCCACCTGTCCACGCTGTCGTCCCTGCTCTGCTCTGGCTTGACGCTCAGACGTGGCGTGGGTCTGGAGAGTTCTGGACCGGCCGGCAGGTCTGTGTGCCCGGGAGGAGGACTGGGGGTGGGGTGGGGGGTAAGAACTCTTGCTGGTGGACAGCCCGGACGGCCACCGTGTGTTCCGCCCAGGCCTCCCCTCGCCCGGTGGGTAGTCACAGCTCCCAGGGGCTCTCAGCCAGCAGACCAGGCTCCTGGAAAGGTCCCCGGCACAGCCTCTGCACAAGCGCGTTGGGAGGAGAGTCCTGTGTTGCTGAGCTCTGCTCGGGAATGAGTCTCCAGCAGCAGCGCGGCTCTCCAGCGCGGGGAAGCATCGGCCTCCAGGCCTGTGCTAGGAGCCGCCCTCCCACCCCCCACCAGGAAGTTTCTGGCGCCAGGAAGTGTGCATCAGGCCCCTGGGCCTGTGCTAGCAGCTCTGCTGACACCAGGAAGCGCCCGGCCCTCAGGCCTGTGCTAGGAGCTCTGGACCAGGCGTCTGTAATGGGGCATGACCTCGTGCTCTGGCAGGTGAAGGGCAAATTCCAAGGCCACCAACACCGGGAACTCGAAGGCGATCAGCTCTCGTCTGTTCAGCCGGAACTTCTCTTCCAGTTTCTGCAACAGAAAGAGAGAAACCAAAAGCACGTGTGATGCCTCTACCCACCGCCAGGGAGGTTTACAGAGAAACGGCTGGTGGGCAAGTCTGTGGAGAAGCTCAGGAGCAGAGGGAGTTCTCACGACAGGACTAGTGCTGTGGCGTGTGGGGCACTGGCTCTGGTGTGTGGGGCACAGGTTGAGGAGTGTAGGCACTATGGCATGTGGGAACGGGCTATGGCGTGTGAGGCACTGGCTGTGGTGTGTAGGTGCTGGCTGTGGTGTGTGGGTACTGGCTGTGGTGTGGGGGGCACTAGCTGTGGTGTGGGGGGTACTATCTGTGGTATGTGTGCACTGGCTGTGGTGTGGGTGGCACTGGCTGTGGTATGTATGTACTTGCTGTGGCGTGGGGGTACTGGCTTGGCATGTGGGGCACTGGCTGTGGTTTTTGGGGTGCTGTCTGTGGCAGCCTGAGCTAGCACACTCCTCCTCGTAGGAACGGTGACACACTCTCTCTTCGGTGGCAGCGGCCCCCTCCCTGCTGGCTCCCCCCACGTTCTCCGTGAACCCAGTGCCGTGAAGCAGGCCTCATGTACTCGCCTAAGGAGACGAGTGTTTCCTTACGCCAAGGGGGTCTCCTTTGAGAGAGAGCAGAAACCCGCGCCCTCCCCCGAAGAGGAGGCCACCGAGGCCCCCGGAGGCCGAGGCCAGTGACCCGTGTGATGGACGTCCTGGGGTGACTGCCCACGAGACCCCGTGGCATTTCCGTGGCTGAGACAGTGACACTGGGTGGGGCGGTGCAGCCGGCCCGGCCCCGGCCACTCACATCAATCAGGTGCTTGACCTCGTGCTTCCTGAGGTCGCTGCCGATCTTGGCCGCCAGCAGCACACAGGCCCCCGCGCAGAGCTTCCGGTTCTGCTTGTTCAGCTTCCCCTTGAGGGCGAGCTTCTCGAAGTAGACGAAGGCCATGGCCACCGTGGGCTCCTCGAAGCCGCAGTCCTCCTGCGCCAGCTTCCGCATCTCGCGCTTCAGGCTGGAGGGGCGGGAGGGGCCTGTTGGAGCCTGAGCACCAGGCCCCGAGGACAAGACTTCACCCAGAAAGCACTGCCTGCCGCCCCCCAGGGGACGGGCACTAAACCGTGAGATGCTGCGTCGCATGGGGAAGAGACTCGTCTAGACCCGCGGTCGCCAACCGGTGGTCCGCGAGGTCCGAGAGGTTGGCGGCCGTGGTCTAGACCACACGGCACAGGCGCACACTGGACCCCAGGGCGGGCGGAGTCCCTGGACACTCGGAGAGCTGCCCAGACGGAAGAGGGACCCCACAGGAGGGACGAGGTCCTGCCAGAGACAGAGACGGCCGTGAGGTGGGGGTCTGGAGTCAGCGCTGTGGAGTGACAGTCACGTTCGTTACTGACGTCAGACGGTCAGGCTCAGCAGCCCCGTGAGCTCAGAGCGGCTGCCCAGCGAGAGGACAAAGTGAAGCCCGAGCTCTCCTGACCTTTGGTCAAACCCAACACGCCAGCACCAGCTCAGCACCAAGATTCACGCGGACATAAATGCTGGCACTTACTCCAACATGGCGTTGTTACACGCAGTCCAGCCCCATTACCACGCACACACATGCATTCACACGCACACACATGCATTCACACGCACACACATGCCCATATGCACACTCATGCCCACATGCACGCACACACTCTCCTGGTACACAGGCCTCACACGCTGGTTTCCCTCCGGAGCAGCCAGAGACTGCTTGGCCGGCAGGCATGCGCCCCCATCGGCCATGAGGGAACGTGATTTTGCTTCGGCTGCTTTGCTGCAAGACAGGGCTCGGCCGTCCCTCCTGGGAGTGGCTGTGGGCAGGGAGCCATTTCAGACCCAGGGCCCAGCTCCTCTCTGCTGCTTTGCCTGCATCTGAGAACGTGACTCCTATGCCATTTCCCGTAACATAAATCGGACTGAACGGTGGGTGCGGAAATGACAGCAGAAACGATTTTTCCCTAACAGGAGCCTCCCCTGGTCCTTGCCAGCTCCTGCCATGAGACCGCCCCCTGCCCTCTGCCCCCTGCCCTCTGCCCTGGCGCTCACAGAGGCCCTCCCAGCAGCTAGCCCCTCGTGGGCCTTTGTTAGTTCTCACCCAAGGACATTTTCCCATTGATTTTTAGAGAGAGAGGAAGAGAGGGAGAGAGAAACATTGATGTGAGAGACACATCGATTGGTTGCCACCCTCCCCCCGCCCTCCCCGCCCCAGGCCGAGGCCGAGATCCAACCTGCAGCCAGGTCCGGGCCCTTGACTGAAAAGCAAACACCCTCGGGGGCGCCCGAACCACTGAGCCTCCGCCAGGGCTCAGGAGCCTCTTTGCTGAACGTGCCCACCTTTCGCTTGAACCGCCGTCCAGAGCACAAGTGCGCTGGGCGCTGGGAGGGGCTGAGGGAGCTCGCGCGGACGGCCACCTACCTCCTGATTTTGCTGAGCGTTAACTTGATGTGAGGGAACTTCTCCCTGAAGGTCTCGTTCATGTCCTTCTTGAGGTCCGAGGGCTTCACGTAGGCGATCACCGTGGTCTGTAAGGAAGGCAGTGGGGTCACACCCTCCACCGAGGCCATTGCAGTGGATGCCCGCGGTGACCCCCACGACCCACGCCCCGGGGAACCGGGGAGCCCTGAGCCCGAGGAGGCCCAGCCTGCAGAGGCAGAGGGGGACCACTCCCTGCTCTCAGGACCGGGGGACGCGCAGCACAGGGCCTCTGATCTCCAGGGCCAGCGCCCGGCAGGGAGGGAGCCCCACTCGCACACCGCGGACGCGCACGGGTGTCACCCACTCCGGCCACCACCAGAGACTGTTTGTGACCAAACCTCAGGCTGCACCTCCAGAGAGTGAGGCAGCCCTGCCTCCCGGAGGGCTACTTCGAGAACCACGGGAGTCGTCTGTCGTGCTTGGCATTCAGCGCGCACTCAACAAACGTGAGTGCTTTTCCAATTGTGGGAGAACACACGACACGGAGACTCGTCCCATTAAACCCCTTCCTCCCTCGGCTCCTCCTGGCCACGACACCTCTGTCCCTGTGACTGACGACTCCGTGTCCTCAGACGAGTGGGACCATGCTGTGTCTGTCCCTCAGAGACTGGCTGTCTCACTGAACACAGGTCCTCAGGGCCCATCCACGCGTGGCACACGCTGTGGCACGTGTCAGCACACATGTGGTATGTGTCAGCATCTCCTTCCTTCGCAAGACTCAGCAGCGCGGGCAGGACCAGTGTGGCTCCAGGCCCCCGTCCCGCCCCCGTCCCTGCTTTTCTGTCCTTAATCCGATGGAACAGCAGCAGGAGTGGGTCTGCGTGGGGTCAGGGCTCCCACGCCAGCCCCCTGTCGCTCTGAGAACGTGGCTACCTGGCCTGAGCCTCCCCGCTGCTCCTCTGCACAGGAGAGAACCCCTGGCGGCTGCCCCAGGGGCTGACCGAGAGGACACAGAACAGAACCTACCGAGAGGCCATGGGCATCTCATTGAGAGCATCGCAGGGAGGGCAGCACCGCTCGCTCGGCCCACAGTCGGTGCCTGAGCTGGGCCCGCTCTGCAGGTGACGCTGCCCAGGGAGCTTCAGGTGAATTGTGTCCTCCTGAGCCCAGGTTCTGGGGGCCAGGGGGTGACTGCCCTGCCGTCCTCAGCCCCAGTCTCTCTCTCAGGCACGCTTTCTGGGGTCCAGCAGCCACGACTCTCTGCATGGACCATGCGCCTGGGAAGGACTATGCCACCCTCGGAGGGAAGACCAACTCCCCACCATCCTGAGAGCCGGCCACGGGGTCACCATGGCCCCTGGGCACCCTCCTCCCGGCCCGAGAGAGCGTGAAAAGCGAGGCCAAGGCTTCTCCCCAGCTCTCCTCTCAGTCTAACTGCAGTCCATAGCGACGCGCCACGCCCAGACCCGTGATCTTATGTTACAGAGTCAAGGTGCTAGCACCCAGGCTGTGCGGTCCCTTCCTGGTCACGCAGGGCGTTGTGCAGCCGCCGCGGCTGACACCTGGGCCGGCTGTGACATGGCGATGGTGGCGGCTCCAGGGCACCTGCGTGCTTGCAGAGGGAGCTGCCCGGCTGCAGGGAGCGGCGTGTGCACCGCCGCTGAGAGGAGGCCACTGACCACAGAAGGTCCGAGACGCAGCCCAGAGGAGCCCGCCCGCCGCCCGCCGGAGGCCTTTAGGGAAGGAAGGGCCGGCACCCCAAGTCCCTTCTGAGGTCACAGGGAGAGAGGGTAAGACCACGCTGTCCCCACACCTACCGCGGAGACAGCCTTTGCTGGGAAACAATTACGGGACTGAGTCATCAGGAGAGCAGGGAGGGCCTCCAGGGAGCTGAATGAGGGCCCGTCCCGGCCCACGGCAACGTCTCGATGCCCAAGCGAAGGCCTCTCGGGCTGGGGGGGCTGCAGCGGGAGGGGAGGGGGGCAGAGTGGAGAGCAGGTGGCAGCAGGTGTGGGGGGGGCGG